TCTTACATATGAAGGTCTCTTATTCAGCGGGTGGTTTGGCCAAGCAGAATCATGTGTAGCAGAATCACGTGTGCTGTGCTTTCCTCCTTCCATCCCTTTATGCACAGTTTTTCCTCAGCCTGGAACACCTGCATTGCTTCTGCCTTACTTGCTATGTGACCTTGAGAAAAATCCATCACCCTTTCTCATTCAGTTCTTCCCATCCATGAAGTGCAATAATAGTAGTTATAGGACGGGACTGTAAGAACATATGGAAAGGAGCTCTTAGGGCCCCACTCTTGCCAGACAAAGTATTGAATAATAAGCTACGCTTTCTCTTTCCCCTTTTGGCTCTTCTCAACGCATCTTCCAGATCTGTCACAACCCTCCTCCCCCCACCTGAGTTTCTTTAGTTCCATTCAGTGAACACTGCATGTTACCCATGGCCAGATGTGATGAGTGTTGGCACACGGTCTCTCCCTTCTGCCAGCTGGATGTCTTTCCAGCTCTGGTTCCTTCAGCAGAGGGCTCAGCCTTAGGCAGAGGACACTAGCTAGCTGGCCAAGACCCAGGGATATGCAGAACGATTAACTGATAACCCCTTCACCTCTCTTCACTCCCCTGTCCTCACAGAGTCAGCCCCCAACTCCTCTGCATGGCAACTGTGTAGAAAGTGCCTTTTGTCCTTTACAGGATGGGGAAGGGAAGAGCCTGACGCAGCCCCCAGGAGACTGCCTCCATCTCTCCCTGCCACTCCTGGGGGCCGTTAGCCTAGACCCTCAGTTCCTATCCCTTTTAGCTGACTCCCTGCGGCTCCCATGCTGTGTCCCCTTCACCTGTCACCCATCTGCTCATACACACACAGGCATGCCTTTTTTTTTTTTTTTTAATATTTTATTTATTTATTTGAGAGAGAGACAGTGAGAGAGAGTATGAGCGAGGAGAAGATCAGAGAGAGAAGCAGACTCCCCGTGGGGCTGGGAGCCCGATGCGGGACTCGATCTTGAGACTCCAGGATCATGACCTGAGCCGAAGGCAGTCGCTTAACCAACTGAGCCACCCAGGTGCCCACAGGCATGCCTTTTTCCTATATTCCTCATTGCCATTCCTGCTTCTTTGATCCCAGTTCCTTTTAATTTTTCTACTGAAACATGTCAAGCCTCAGATAATCATGGGAACGGAGTTGTTTGCAATCACATGGATGGTGGTTTTCAGACTGAACCCTTGCTGAAAGTACATCAGTGGCTTATCTTCCGGGGAATGAGGATGGAGAGGGGCCCCTGAGAGAGCAGTGAGTGAGCAGTGAGTCAGACAGGGTGGGACCCCGAAGGGGAGTCACCTTACTTCCACTTAGTCAGGAAGCTTCCATGAAGGAGGGGGAATTTTAGCCGTTGGGTTGGCGAAGTCTTTCCCTGCATCCCCCTCCCCAACACCTTGCTTTCATCCTTATCAAGCCTGTGAGTTCCTGGACCCCTTCGGTTTCCCCATTTTATCAGCCTGCCCCTTCCACCCAGCTTCTCTGCAGGCCCCAAATGACCTCCTTCTCCCCCAGTCCCCTGACAAACTGACTCTTCTTTTCCATACATGTCAGTCTGTGAGGTGCTCTCCTTAGCCAAAGGCTAATCCCTCCATGTGTATGCTGGCTCCCATGGTCTCCTTCCACACTGCACATAAACATGATTGGGCCTCTTCCCGTTAAAAACAGCCATTAGAATCAATCTGAAGGCGAGAGCCAGACACTGATATTTTAAAAGCTCCCTAGGTGATCGTGTGCAGCCGGGGCTGAAAACCATAAACAGAACAAAATGCACACTTCTCACAGTGGCATTCAGGGCTCGTAGAAACTGGTTCCTGCCCGTGTTTCCTACCCTGACCTCTCTGCCCTCTGAGCTGGAGCCACACCGAACTCCCTAGAGCTCCCCCAGCCTGCCACCTCTCTTGCTTCTGTGCCTTCACACACATCCTTCTTTCTGCCTGGAATGCATTTCGCTGCTTTCTAGAAAGTGCCCTTCAGCGTTCAGTGTGGTGTCCTTCTGTGAAGCCTTCAAGAATTCACCCCCACCCTGGTACAGGGTGACCCTCCTTGGTGCTTCCATAAGCCTCTGTGTTTATCTCTGTGGGAACACTCGCCACATGCTAACTATGACTGGTCTCCTCGATATCTGTTTCCTCCTCTAGATAGCGAGTGCTTCACAGGAAAACCCAGGGCTATAGAGATGCCATTTGGTAGGACGTGGGGCCAGGTGATCTCTATCAGAGACGAGTTCTCCCAGGACTGGGACAGGAACTGAGTGAAGTGAGTCTTTGTGCCTGTTCATTCATGTGGTCAACATGGGCTGGGGCTTGCTGTGCTCACTGACCACTGGGGCCCAATAAATGGGTAGCTGAAGTTCCCTGCCTTTACTACACTTGATCTCTGGCACTGTACATCCTCTCTGGTCATCTGCTTGGTTCGTCTCTCATTTGTCTCTAGCTGGACACTGAATCCAGAACTGCTCAGTAGAGCTCAAAGAGCAGTGTGTGCACACAGCAGGCGCTTAGGAAGTATCTGCCAAACCAGTCCTCACAAGTCCCACATGCAAGACTGACCTACTGGTTGTCAGTGGTGGTATGTTCTTGACATATTGGTTGGTTCCTGTCCTGTCTGAAATGTTGAGCATCGCACGGGGGCCAGCTCCTTCACTCTTCCCGACGATGAGGGAGGCTCTGCTGTTCCCGTCTTATAAAGGTTCGGCAGCTTGCAGGACACGCAGGTACGCGCTGGAAGATTTAAACCCGGGCCTATGGAGTCAGGGCTGACCCCAAAACCACCAGATTATACCTGGGACACATTAGGCTTTCAACAAATATTTATTGACTCAAGGGAGACTGCCACCCCCAGGGAATCAGAAAGCCTGAATTCTCAGCGTCCTCCCCGCCTGGCTCCGGGTCTCGTGACCTCTCTGGGCTTTCTCAGAGTCTCATTTATTCTCATATTCACTCCACAAACATCACGAAGGATCAGATGAGCCAGCCAGTGGGCCAGGTACAAGAGATATGGAGACAACTAACGCATGCCTCTGGCTGAGAGGAACTTAGAGCGGGGGAAGTGGCAGATAATTGCATTCCTGTAGGATCACCGGAGCTGGGGTGGGGAGCTGTGTGGACTCTGTACCGAGCCAAGGGACTAAGGCTTGGAAGGGTGGGAGTGTGTGCAAGATGTGGACATCCTTGGGGAACAGGTAAAGCGTAGCACAGGAGAGTAACACAGGTAGAATGGGAGGCCAGGGTCCAGCTCAGGGAGGCCTTAGTGTTCTAACTCAAAGAAATTTGAGCCTTTTGAATTCTCCCGCCATTTCCTTTCGAGGGTAGCTGCTCTTGGGCTGGATCATAGCTCTAGTGTGGCTCTGACCTCTGACCTTCAAGACTGAACTCCTACATGGCTACATCCCACCATTTACCAGCATATTGTTTCTCCCAGACCACCCTCTCTTCTGAATTCTCCTGTCCACATTTACACTGATCCGACAAGAAGCCATCCAGCCACTTGATGCCAAGAACCAATCAGGAGCTGCTGGAGCTGCAGAGTTCATTCTGTTCCAACTTAGTCCTTACCCCTGTTGAGTGGAGTGGGTGTGTGTGTGGAGCTAGAAGGGGAGTGCAAGAAGCCAGATGGACAGCTCAGCACAGAGTCAATCCCCCTGTCTTGGGGACATCTCCAGTGTCTGCCATGCCCATCCCGTTTCCAAAGCTCAGGTCAGTCTGTTAGCTCTCACCTGGTCTGCCTCAATCAGCCCATGGCCCTGGCCACCAGAGTGACGTGACTCAGCCAGCCCTAAACCCCCTGCAGCGACAGCGACCCCTGCCCCCTTCACCGGTGTGTCCCTAGCACTTACCACAGTCTTGCCCATGGTAGGCACTCAATCGGTATTTGATCATACAAGCCTGATCGCAGGCTCCTCACGAATCTTCACTGTTTCTTCTCTGCTTCCAGAATAAAACCAAACTGGCTGGGTTGGCCTTCAAGCCCTACTACATTTGGCCACAGTTGGCCTCCCTTCCCTTTATTTCCTTTCAGTACCTTCAAGGCCAGTTTAGCCAATGAGTCACTGTTTCTGCCCCGGGCCACTTGTATTCTCCCACAGCGAAGTCCTCTTAGTTCCTAATGCTAGGGCTCAGCCAAGTTTATGGGCTGGTGGAGAAGGCTTCCTTGCCCAGCTGCTCCCTCCGGCTGAGACCTCCCTGCCACCCCAGGTCAGACCCTCGCACACACGTGCTACCTCCCGCCCAACCCTCCCACCAACCCCTGGGGAGAAAGCGCGGTAGGAAAGGGCTGGAACTTTCCGCCGGGTCCCAAGCTGGGTGGGCCTGCCACAAGCTGAAGATGTGTCGGTCGCATTGGTGGACCGTCACCGGAGGTCCCAGAATGAGACCGAGTGTGAGGAAGCAGCCAGGTGCAACTCTGGTGGGCCGGGGTCGGCCCAGCGAGAGCCGCTGGAGGCGGGCAGCGCGATGCCGAGGGAAGGGGTGGGGAGCCCGGGCTGGGCTAGCTTCCTGCCCCGGAATCTGGCGGCCCGCCCCTGCGCCCGCCCCTCGGGCCGAGCAGAGTCGGGGCCAATCAGCAGGCGCCCCCCGCCCGGCCCGCCCCGTCCCCCTCTGGTGACAGAAAGTCGGCCCAGCAGATGAGGAAGTGGCAGGCAGGCTGGCCTTGGGGACTTCTCTCTGGCCTTGCTCCCTCCGAGCCCTTCACTGCTGCCCGCCTGGCCCCCCACTGGTGAGTCTGGACCTTCCACGGGCGGGCTGTCCACGTGCCCGGGCACCCTGCCCGCTTAGCCATGCCCTGCCCTGCCCTGCCCAGCCTGTGGGCGAGGCTGTTCCCGGGGACCGTGGGTGGGAGGTCCTAGCTCTCTGGGGCCGGGCCTGGCCGGTAGCCTCCCTCCGATCCCGGCCCCCATTTGTTTAAACCTAGGCCATCTTCCACCACCTCCTGCTCTAGTCCCTCTCCGCCTCTTCCCCTCCCTCTCCTTGGCTCCCAGTTCTTCTCTTTTCCCTTCCCCTCCCCCTCCTTTGCCTGTCTCCCTTTCCCTTCCATCCATCTTAAAGGAAGGAAGCACCCGCCTGAGTTCCCCTACCAGGGACACACCCAGCGCTCCTCAAGCCAGGGGAGAGGTCCTTTCCAGAGCCTGGAGCCACTCCTGACCTCCAGGGCGCATGAGTGTTTGTGAGGGGGTGAACTCGAGGTGGTGGTGGAGAGAGAGCAGGAGAGATAACCCGCTGGCAGGCTCCCCTGAGTCAGGGAGGAACTGTGTGTGTGAGCGCAGGCCTCCGCCAGGTGGGCCGCGCCACAGAAGAGGCAGCCAGCAAGGTCTACCTGTGAATGAATGAATGGTCCTTGTGGTTCGTGAAAGTGATCTGTGTGCACGACCTAAGGCAGGTATGTCTGAGTGTGGTGAGGGGGATTTTATGTTTATTCATCTCTAAGTGGGGTGTCTGAGTTTATGTCTGTGACCACATTTATCTGTGACTCAACGTACCTGTGAGTAAAGCTGCGTGTGGGCCCCAGGGGTGCGAGCGTGAGTATTTGCACATGGTAATACTAGCAGGACCAGAGAAGGTGGCCGGGTGAGTGTTTTGGGTGTGTTGCGAGTATGAATGGAGTTAGGAGTGGGTCTGAGTATCAGAAGCTCTGCATGTCAAAGTCCGTGGAAGCTGTTTGGGTGGTGTGTCAGAGGTGGGTGGCTAATGCCAGTAGGAGGTGTGTGGGCCCTGCATGTACATAGGCGTGTCAGCCCTGGGTCAGCCTGTCATTGGTGCTGGGGAGAGCTGCGTGAGAAGGAGGACTTGGGGCCTGACCATGGTGGGGGCAGTTGGGGGTCCCCATGGAGGCTGCGGGAGCTCCTGTGGGATGTGTGCCCAGTTCAGTGTGTGAGGGGCACATGGATGGCCTCGCTGGAGGTGTCAGAAGGTGGCTATTCTTCGCTTAGTGCCTGTGCACGGCTTGTTCTCTGGAAAGAGGGAAGCTGGTGGGCATCTGCTTCCCTTGCTGGCTGGGGAATGCCTTGCCCCTCTGGGACAGCCTTGGCATCCCAGGCTCTCCTGGGTCTGGCCCGAGGCTTTTGTGTCCCAGGGTGCCCTCCCCCGACATTCCTTCAGGTTCTGAGGGGGAGAGGGCCTAGCTCATTAGGACCCTCCCTAAGGGAGGGGAAGATTCCTCAGACCTCCCCCACCCCCCCACCTCCTCACATGCCACTGGCCTCCCTGCCCCTCCCAGGGAGAGAAGGGTGCTCGTACCCATTCTGAAGCAGGACAGACTGAGAATTTATGGCTAGTTTAGGAGAGGATGCTGGGTGTAGGTTTTCAACAGTCCGCTTGGGGCCAAGGCTAGGGCTTGGCTGGAGCCCTGTGAGGTTTCTGGCTCAAAACTAAGCTAGAGCCTTCGCTCATCTGGCCATCCAGGGTGGGTGGATGGTGAGTTCCATGCTTTACTCTTGGCTTTCTCAATCCTGGTGGGTCCTGCTCCTCCAGGCCCTGACGTGTGGCCTGGATCCACCCTCCACCCCATGCTCAGTGCAGCGGGGGCGGGTGGAGGGCGGGGCGCTCCCAGAGCTAGTTAGACAGGTGGAGCCGCCGGGGCAGGAGTCTCAAAGAGCTGGGCTCCGGAGAGGAAGGGCTGGAGGGGAGTGCCAGAGAAGAGGGCAGCGGGGAGCGGAGAGAGTCGCTGGGGTGAGAGCCCGGGAGGGCAGGGGAGAGGAGGAAGGGGCAGGGGTGGGGGGAATCGTCTCGGGAGAGGAGCATCCTGAGGAGCTGTTGAACGGGAGGATCCCTGGGGGGGGAGGAAAAATGACCCTCTCAAGGCTGGAGAGGTGGGAGACTGGCAGGGAAGGAGAGGCGGTCATTCTGGAGTGGAGAGGTAAGATTCTCTGGAAAGAGACCAGAAATGGAGAGTCCTCCTGTGGAAGAAGAGGGAAGGTGAGGTACGGTGTTAAGAATCTCGGCGGTGGAGCAGGGAGTGAGGGAGGTGAGTGAGGTGCCGAGAGGAGGGCAGAACAGCCCTTCCCAGCAGGCAGGCAGGATGTGCGGGAAGTGGTGTGAAAGCGGTGTGTCTCCTATCCCCAGTCCTCCTCAGCTCCTTCCTCTCACTCTTCTGTCCTTTCTGCAAAGAGGTGTCGAGAGCTGTCCCACCTGGTCTGTGTGCTGTCTGTGGGTCAGGGGTGGGATGGGGGCACAGCCGGCCCTGACACGCACCCCCCCCATACCTCCCCAGAATCCTTAGCCAGGATGGAGGCGGTTGTGAACTTGTACCAGGAGATAATGAAGAATGCAGGTAAGATGCTGTCCTCCCTCCTGCTCCAGGATCCCTGAACCTAGGGCTGTCTCCTGCTGGAGAGTCCCTGCGAACCCCTTGACTCTCTGTGACCTGACCCCGTGCCTGTACACCTGGTGGGGACCCTTTGGACCCTGTGACTCTTTCTGACTCCTTGACCCTTATCCACAGATCCTCGGATCCAGGGCTACCCTCTGATGGGGTCCCCCCTGCTAATGACCTCTATCCTCCTGACCTATGTGTACTTCGTTCTTTCACTTGGGCCTCGCATCATGGCCAATCGGAAGCCCTTCCAGCTCCGGGGCTTCATGATTGTCTACAACTTCTCACTGGTGGCTCTCTCCCTCTACATTGTCTATGAGGTAGGCCTCTGGGGTGCCTAGGTTTTAATTCCTACCAGCAGGATAAGGGGCAAGCCTTGGGGTCAGACATGGCATCTCCTTTCCAGAGAGGCTCAGATCCGTTTCTTCAGCTAGATAGCAGGAGGGGTTGGTCTGGGTGGATGGATCTCTGGTAGCCTAATCCACTCCCCTCCCTAGTTCTTGATGTCTGGTTGGTTGAGTACCTACACCTGGCGGTGCGATCCTGTGGACTATTCCAACAGCCTGGAGGCACTAAGAGTAAGTGGGGGTCAAGGGTGGGGAGCTAGCATAGAAGCACTCTGGGGATAGCAGTTGGGCTGTGCCCTGGCCTCATGGGTCAGTTCAGGGAAGTTTCTGGAATAGCATGGGTGTCCTAAGTCTGCCTGACTTCTTGCAGATGGTTCGAGTGGCCTGGCTCTTCCTCTTCTCCAAGTTCATCGAGCTGATGGACACGGTGAGTGGTTATAGGAGATATGGGGACCCTGGGGGTAGAAAGGAGAGGCCCTGGCTCGGAAACCCATTTCCCCCCTCTTCTCAGGTGATCTTCATTCTCCGGAAAAAAGATGGCCAGGTGACCTTCCTACATGTCTTCCACCACTCAGTGCTTCCCTGGAGCTGGTGGTGGGGGGTACAAATTGCCCCGGGTGAGTGGTGAAGGCCACTGGGGGAAGAGGGATGGGCACTAAGGACCAGCAGCTCAACTCTCCTGACCCTGTTCATTGTACCGACAGGAGGAATGGGCTCTTTCCACGCCATGATCAACTCCTCTGTGCATGTCATCATGTATCTGTACTATGGGTTGTCTGCCCTCGGCCCTGTGGCTCAGCCCTACCTGTGGTGGAAAAAGCATATGACAGCCATCCAGCTGGTGAGGGGCCTGGCCCGTAGCCATACCCCCTGCCTCCCTGGTCTGGATCCTCCCTTTATCCAGCTGGCCTCACCTCTGACCGCATGCCTCTGCATTCAACATCCAGTCGGTCTCCACCACCTCTCGCTGTTCCCTCTCACCCTTGCCCGTCTCCGTTCCAGATCCAGTTCGTCCTGGTCTCACTGCACATCTCCCAGTACTACTTCATGCCCAGCTGCAACTACCAGTACCCCATCATCATCCACCTCATCTGGATGTACGGCACCATCTTCTTCGTGCTCTTCTCCAATTTCTGGTATCAGTCCTACACCAAAGGCAAGCGGCTGCCCCGTGTGCTTCAGCAGAATGGAGCTCCAGGTACCACCAAAGTCAAGGCCAACTGAGAAGTGTGGCCTAGCTAGGTGCCCACCTAAGTGCCTCAGGACTGCGCCTTGGGCAGCATCTGACTTCTCCCCACCTACACCGGTGACCTGTGACCAGGGCTTACGTGGTCAGGACTGAGCAGGGGACAGGCCCTCCCCTCCCCACAGCTGGTACACAGGGACCATGGCTTCCGTTCCTCACCCGCTTCTCCCGGCCGGCAGCAAGGACATGGCCTCATTGCCCTCTGCTACTCCAGAGCTGGGGGGCCGAAAGGGCTGGACACATTTCCCCCTCCCTGCCTTAAACTTGGGAGAGGAGCACTCAGGACTGGCCCCCACCAGGGTCTTGTGGCCTTTTTCCTCACACTGAAGAGGTCAGCAATAATCTGTCACTGTGCACCCATGATCCCTCCTTCTCTCCCCCACACTGAAGCAGAAGCTTCTTGGCCAAAGGTCAGGGTGGCTGGGGGGCTTGGGCTCACTCGCTTAGGTCTTCATTAAAAGTGACAGAGGAAACCACCGAGGCTGTGTGTGTACATGTGGGAATGGAAGAGGTGTGCCAGCCCTGTCTGCCAACAAGGAGGGATGGTTCTGGCTCTCGGAGGACCATGGTGGAGAGGATCCTCTGGGAAGGCTGCTGGGACAGAGGTGATGCAAAGAGAAGAGAGGGAGATGTGACTTTATTAGAAAAATATAAAAAGAAAAACAACCCAAAACAACTGAGGTGATGAGTTGGTCCTCAACGGATGCCCTGGTGGATGAGGCTGCTCTTGGCTGCGCTGGCCTTCTCCCGCTCCCGCCGCCGCGCAGGGTCCAGCTCAAAGCAGCGCCACAGCCGCAGGGTCTCATCTGCTGCTGCTGAGGCCACGGTGGCCCCGTCTGGGCTCATGGTCAGACTCAGGACCCGGGCCGTGTGACCTGAGGCATGAGGAGGGAGACGGTGAGAGCAGAGCATATGAATGCAGACACAGCCCCCAGCCACCAGTGTTGAGAACCACCTACCTTTTTTATTTAATAGCCCTGAGAAAATAACTCACACACCATAGAATGCATCCTTTTAAAGTATACAGTTGATTGGTTTTTAGTATATTCACAAAGTTGTGAACTGTTGCGAAGGACAAATGTTGTTGTGAACAATAATTCCAGGGCGTTTTCATCGCCCCATAAAGTCTCTCCTCTCCTAGTCACCTTCTCTCCTCGTCACCTTCTTCCCCCAGGCCCTGGCAACCATCAATCTGTTTTACTTCTTTGCATTTGCCTCTTTTGGACACTTCATGTAAACAGTCATATACAGTGTGTGGCCTTCTGTGTCTGGCTTTGGTCACTTAGCACCTACCTTTATTTTTTTTTATGTTGAACCATTTTTTAAAATTTAAATTCAATTAATTAATATATAATCTATTATTAGTTTCAGAGGTAGAGGTCAGTGACTCATCAGTCTTATATAAGACTGCTTGATTGACACCCCAACTTAATATCTCAGAGGCAACTCAAATTTAACATGTTCAAAAGGAAACTCACCACCATTCACTCCAAACCTGTTCCCCTCATGGGTTTTCTTTTTTTTTCTCCCCGGTTTCAGAGGTACAATTTAGTGATTCATCAGATGTGTATAACACCTAGTGCTCATTACATCACATGCCCTCCTTAATACCCGTCACCTAGTTGCCCCATCCCCCCATCTCCCTCCCCTCCAGCAACCCTTAGTTTGTTTCCTATGATTAAGAAAGAGTCTCTCATGGTTTGTCTCCCTCTATGCTTTTGTCTTGTTTTATTTTTCCTCTCTTCTGCTATGATCTTGTTTTGTTTCTTAAATTCCACGAGATCATATAATTATCTTTGACTTATTTTGCTTAGCGTGATACCTCTAGTTCCATCCATGTCACTGCAAATGGCAAGGTTTCTTTTTTTGATGGCTGCATAGTATTCCATTGTATATGTATACCACATCTTCTTTATCCATTCATCTGTTGATGGACATCTGGGCACTTTCCAGAGTTTGGCTATTGCGAACATTGCTGCTACAAACACTGAGGTGCGGGTACCCCTTCAGATCACTACCTTTGTATCTTTGGGGTAAATACCTGGTAAGCACCTACCTTTAAGCTCAGCAACCTTGGCCATGGTTGGGTACTTCCAAATAACCAACTGGTTCTGGGCAAAGCCATGGCCTGAGATGAGCTCCTTGTAGTGGGGAGACCAGAGGATGGAGCACACCTGTGGAGAGGGGTTGGGGTGTGGGCACAACATAGAGCCAGCATTACTCAAATGAGAACTAAGTCCATTTGAGTGTTAGGCACCCTGCCAGGTGCAAGACTCAGACTTGAATCACCACAGTTCTTATAAAAACTTTGAGAGTTAGAATTATTATCCATTTTAAGAGATAAGGAATCAAGCAGAAGAAAGTTCAGCAAGTTGCCTAAGACCACATGCAAGTTTAGTAGGTGACAGCGCCAGAATTTGAACTCTGGCTCCAGAGCCCAAGTTTAGAATAGAATGAAGGCTGCATAGGGGACATGAAGGTGGAAGGAGAGAAAGCTGGAACAGATGCAAGGAGACTCACCAGCAAGGGCCTCCAATGTCATTCTACCTAATGTGGATTAAGGGCTGTAGGTGATAGGGAGCTACTGCAGGGTTTTAGGACAGGAACAGACCTCCCAGACCCAGTGCAGAGGACAGATTGGAAGGGATAAGTAAAGAATGCTGAGAGACCAGTAAAATGGGCCTCCACTTGGAAGGCCTTCCACATGGAAGGCCTCTATGAAGGGAGGGGGGACACGTGAATAATACTGAAGGAAAAATGAGGTGTTTTGGGACTGGGTGAAGAGGAAAATCCTAAAGATTTTAGGAAGTTGTGCAGATTTCTGAATAAGTTCTATCACTCTCAAACAATGTAAGAGGAGGAGGAATACATTTCAGGGAGATAAGAAGTGACAAATTTAATTTAGGACATACTAGCGTGTTGCCACCTACAGGACAGGAGGTTGGGGTTAAGTAATGGACATTAGTATGGTTTGGACCTTTTGTACGAGAGCTGAGTTAGAGTTTTGGAAATCATCAGCGTATAGAGTTGATAAAGCCACTGAAGGGGACAGTTGCCCAAGGGGACAGTTAACCAAGACAAAGTAAGAATATTTCTGAGAGAGAGAGGCTGGAACGTAACAGGTAAAAGACTACCTGGGATTGAGCATCCACAGCACTCAGACAGGCCCCAGAGCAGACATTCCAGATGCGAATGTGTCGGTCACTGGTGCCCCCTCCAGTCGCCAGGACATTGGACTGCCAGGGACACCAAGCTACAGCCTAGGTAGGATAAAGATGGGGTCAGCTGCCATAGAACTAGACAAGGAGCTACAGGGGTCACAGGGTAATCCCGTCCAATCCTACCATCCCATCTCCCCTTAATGGTCCCCAGGTTCTGGGGGAGGGTCTGCAGAGCCCCCAACCCAGTCCCACTCTCACCTTGACAGCCCCCTGATGCTGGGTGAATGTCTGCAGGGGAACCCAGCCACCCTCTCCAGGAGCACTAGGCCACACGTTGACCAAGTTATCGTTGCCGCCGCTGGCCAAATGTCGTCCATCTGGGGCCCAGCGCAGCCCACACACCTCCTGGCTGTGGCCGCTCAGGGTGGCCACATGGTGTTCTGCCACCCGAACATCATGGTGGTGGATCTGGCCAGAACGTGAGCCACTGCAGAGGGGAGGGGCATGAGGTTCAGTGGTAATGCCAAACACTGCCAGAAGCACCGAGTTGCTTCAGTTCAGAGGTATACCTCTGGGGAGAGCTGGCAAAAATCACAGACGGATTTTGCAACAGACTAGCGACAGCCACAAACCTGGACACGATGTAGCTGTTCCAACACAGGGAGCTCACACGGGCGGAATGACTAGTCATGTTTCGAAGCCGCTTCTGCTGCTGCACATCCCATAGCTAGAGAGACAAGGCTGCTAGGACCAGATGGCGACCTGCCATGAACATCCTCCTCCCCGACAAGCCCCCTGGGTCTGGGCGCCGCAGAACTGCAGCACAGAGGACAAGGCTCACCTGCACCTCGGCACTGCTGGTGCCCACTGCCAGGTAGTTGCCCTCTTTGATCCAGGCCACAGAAGATATATAGTCCCCAGGCTGCTCCATTTGCAGCAGCTGCAAGATGTCCCCGGAGCTAGCACTCCACAAGTACACGCTGTTGTCCAATGCCACAGCCAGTACATTTCCAGAGCTCCAGTCCACAAGGTTCAGGTCTTGCCAGAGCAGGGAAAGGGAAGAGCATGAGCTTCCTTGTTTGCCTGGTCCCCAGGCCCTCTTCCTCCATCCGATGGGCAAAGAGAAGGCTGCACTTACAGTAGTCATTCCGGATTTCAGGGGCGTCCAGGATTCGATCTGGCAGGGAAGGAATATAACGGCAGGTCTTCCGGCTGGAGCCAGGCGTGGCCTTCTGGCTGTAAAGCACTTTCAGTCTGTTCTGGTAACCTGTAGCAACCGAGTGGGTCCACACAGTGGGACAACTGATTCCTCCCCCTGCCCCTAGCCTGGAAGGCCAGACAAGCACCTCCCCTCTCCTCAGTCTCAGGTGGGAATGGCAGACAGGCATCACCCCTCAATTCTAGAACTTGGGGTCTTACCCTCTGGGGCATTTTGTGGTTTTCCACTGAGCCGAAGGATCTTGGCTTCCTCCACATCAAAACCGTTCAGGTTCAAAGCCCAGGCTTTCTGATGTTCCTGGCACAAAGGGTGAGGGTGAGGCATGATCCCTACACCAGCGGATCTTGTGCCTGTAGCCCCTCTGGGACACATACCTTCTTGGTGGGCGTCTGGCTATCTTCAGGCTGGTTTTCCTTGCTCAGGAGGAAACTGGCCACCTCCATCTGGGAAGCACTGCGATGGGGGATGTAGCGGTCACCGCCAGGTTTGCTGGGAGTGGTCTGAGTCTTGGAGCTGGATTTGCCTGGGGTAGAAGGAGGGAAGCCAGAGAGTCTGACCAGGCTCCTGCGGGAGGAGGCACGAAGGCCGCTTCTCAGCCGTCCCCTCTCCCTCCCCGATGTCCCGCCGCACGCCACTGACCGGGAGTTCGGCCTGGGGTCCTGCCGGCGCTGTGGGATCGGTTGGCCGCCCGCATGGGTGAGGGGGCCGGCCCCGCGGCTTCCTTAGCTTTGCGCTGCCAGCGCGCGGGGGGTGCATTGGGGATAGGTGCGTCCAGCTGCAGCAGCGAGTGCAGGTCGCTCTCGAACACGAACTGCGCCATGGGAGCGTCTACAAGGGGAGGGGGTCCTTGGAGTGGGTGCCCGCCGAGTCCTGGAGGAAAAGGTGACCGTGATCGATCTGGGACGGCTGGCCACTCGTTCAGGGGCACCCCGGCCGCAGCCCCACCCGACCCAGGCCCCCCGGCCACCTCTCACCTTCAGCCCGCAGCACGTTCCAATCCCGGACCGGCTTCAGCAGTGCCGATTTACACTTCTTAAACTCTCCGCTCCGAGCACTCATTGGCTCCTTCAAAACCCAACCGTAGCAACCGTCGCTTT